CTAAGTTTAAGTTACATTGGAATGTTACACTAGCTAGCAGAAAATCAAAGTTCTGGAGATTATTATGAGAAATTCGAAGCTTAAAAAAGAGACAGATGGGGCATCAATCCAGATCATCAGAGATAGAAAAGGAAATTGAGAATCGAGGGAGGATGTTGGGGTTTAAATTTCGACAGCTCATTTTTTATAGCTTCGCCTAATGAGTAGCTGCTGATGACTGTGTGGGCCCTCGTGGCAGCGCCCCCCCCCCCCCCCCCCCGTCCATCTCCCTCCCCCGCTTGAGATGAGCCCAAGAGGACAGGTGAAGACAGGGCGTTGATTGATCAAGTTTTTGTGCTTTTCACTTCATTCCAAGGCGTACCTTGCTTACCGACATCCAACCCCATTTTCTCTATAATCACGTATGTGAGATGTGCAATACTTCATATAGAAAACACAATCAACTGTTATCATGTCGACAGAACCTCCAAATTTCTAGTGTTCTGCGCTCAAACTTCTTTATCAGGGCATCCCCCGCAGCACGTGATCAACAGTCCCTCTGCCAATCATGCCGTCCGGGGCTGTGGGGCTGGGGGCCGTAACCGGTTATTTTCCAGCTCTTGCTAATGAATAGTGGTCAAAAAGGAAGCCTCGACGGACAGGCTGTCGCAACCTCCGACCCACAGCTTGATCGTCCATTCCTCGCCCGCCCGCCCGCCCGCCCGCATGCCGAATCGCCAAGCCCCTCGTTACCTCGCGGGCGCAGGCTGGGGCGAAGGGACCGCGTGCCGAGGGTGACCCTCCGGTTATCACCGACCCGCGCTCTGCCCCTCCCAGGCGAAGGGCATCCGACCTGCGAGGGACAAGTAATGTTTAGCTTTCCTCCACGGCCCCGAGGGAGGCTTTTCCCTGACATCGCGGACGGGGGAGGCGATCGGCGGGACCTCCTGCCTTTAATAGTTCCACCCGACCTGTCACCGCGGAGGATTTTTTTACCTTTCTTCATCTCCTTCTTCTACCTTTTTCTACTTTATAACAGGTTTGCGATTTTCAAATCTAATGAGAGGGAGAGGAGAGGAGAGAGAGAGAGAGAGAGAGAGAGAGAGAGAGAGAGAGAGAGAGAGAGAGAGAGAGAGAGAGAGAGAGAGAGAGAGAGAGAGAGAGAGAGAGAAAGAGAGAGAGAGAGAGAGAAGAGAAGAGAAAAAGAGATAAAATAATGAGTCTTGATGAAGTATTTGTCTTGATAAGTACCTTTTTATAAACTTGAAATGACTTTCGATGTCCATTTTTCATATTCCTAGCGATGTTATTATTTCCTTTTTCCTTAAAAGATCACATGCAAATGGAAGAAGTCATCTAGCATTTGCAAAAAAAAATGACAAGTAAGTCTCTCATCACGGAAAGGAACAGGTGGTAGTCGTTCATCTTCTCGCTTTCGGTATCTGTTCACTGAAGACCTGATGCACGGTGGATTCTTTTTTTTCTTTTTCTATCAAAAGGTTTATAAGGCTGAGCAGATTCATACTTTCATTTATATATACTACATATTCGCCATGTCTCCACCTTACTTATTTTCGCTAATGTTTAATATTTGATGTTGTGTTTTATATCATCTTGTGGTAGGTATAATATGAAATGCAATCTAGTTTTGAATCTCTTTGACATATTATATTTCTTTGTAAGTAAACCGGTGCCCCGACCCTTCATTTAGCAATTCTGACCCGACCACATCCCCCGTCGCCTGACCCTCCCCTCCTCCTCCTACCCATCCTCTCCCTTCACCCCCTCCCCACTCCTCGTCCCCCTCCTTCTCCTCCCTCATCCTCATCATCCTTCCCTCCTCCCCATCCTCTCTCCTCTTGTCCTCCCTCCTCCTTCCCATCCTCCCTCCCCTCTTTCTTTTCCTCCTCCCTTCCTCCCCTACCGCCCCTGTCCCCTCCTCCCTCCCTGTGGTCCACTCCCCGAGGCCAAAGCTTCTTATGATTACGTGCATTCCGACGTGATCTGATCCCTACTTTCACATTGCTATTGGACATTTACATGAGGAATCTGTCACATCGTAGTGCGTTTGAAGTTTTTTTTTTGGCATTATACAGCGTCGTTTTTGTTGTTGATTTTTTTTTTTTTTTTAATAATATATATATATTCCTTGGATGAAAAAAACACTATGCTATTGATACTATGCTGGAGAAAATAAAAATCTATCATACAGAAATTTAGTTTGTTGAAAGAAGACTTACGCCAACCAGATTTTTTCTGCCAGATTCAGTGCCATATCACTTTGATAATTTTTTGCAGAATATAAATCAAGTCCAAAGATGTGAATCCAGACGTCCCTGTTCTTCACGTGACAAAGAATTGTGTAAGTTTCTGAGACGATGTTACTAACACACAGTTAGAGGATATACTGTTTTTGTTCTAGTGCTTCAGCTGACTGTGGTACTTATCGTTTCAAAATCATCATCTATTGCTGCAATCCTGTTTTGTAATTTCAGTATCCATTCATTACAAGAACATGCAA